TTTTTTTTTTTTTTGGTCTTCTTTCTCCTTCCTTTGCTTTCTTTTTCATAGAGCACCTTGCCATTCCCTTATGTCCAGCTGCTGTCACCGATCCAGGGAGAGCAGGCCCTGTCCAGCAGGCTGCAAGCGGGAGGAGGTAACTCCAGGCAGACTCCTGCCTCCTGTGGCCTCCAGGCTTTTGCAGAGAGGGTGTGATGCCTCCACAAAGCACTGACCGGCACGGCTCGGACACCGTTCTTTTCCAGGGGTCCTGGGAGAGTGGTAGCTGGGGCGACTGCCCATCTGTCACCCTAAACACCTTGGAGGGAAAGAGGAGGTGACAGAGCCCACTATGAGCAACGGGCCTCTCTTCCTCTTCCGGCTCGCCTGGCGTGCCCACAGAGCCAGACTGCCCTTTCCCTAGCCCTGGAGCCCTGCAGCCCCTCACCCCCGCCGGGCAGAGTATAGGGGGACTTCCTGCCATTTGACTGACGACTGTTCCCTCTGGCTCCCAGGGACCTCCTGCCCACTCCAGTCGGGACGCTGGGAGACAAAGCGTAGACAGGGCCCCACGGAGTCACGTTTACTAATGAATCAGCTGTTGGAACAAATGTCAAAATTATGCTTGCCATGTCTCGGCCCAGACGTCCCTCCCCTGGCCTGTTCCTAGAATCTGCCTGTAAGTGGAGTTCTTGTAAATTAGATTATTCAGAGAACCTTGACATTTAAAGAGACCATGTTGGAAAGCTTTCGGTAAAGCAAAAACTCACGTTGTCGGTAATGGCCTTCAGTGTTCCCAGTTTGGAACGGTTGGATTTCCGTAGGTTTTCTGAAAAGTGGAAAATGACTGTGGCCAGACAAGGCTCATTCTTTGGGTCATTCAACAACCAACTAGCAGACAGCCACCTTGTATCAGGTGCTGCGCTAAGGGGGTGTGAGGTCATGTCCCTGCCTCCAGGAAGCTTACCTCCTGGGAGAAAAGGCAGACACCGCCAGGGGAGGGTCGGGCCCCACATTTATTCTGGTCAGCTGGCGGGAGTGAACTTTCTGTTGAAGGCCTGTGTGCTGCATGTGGTTCGAGAGCGATACAGGGGTCGATCTCAGGGTGTCGCGGGTGTTCTCCAAGGAGCTCCCGGGCCAGTGGGGAGACAGCTGCGAGGGCGAAACCAGCGGTTCGCCAAGACTGGTGGGGGCTGGTGGGGAAGGGTCGGCGTTGCCAGGCTCCCGTGTGAGCGCTGCGTGGGGGCGCCACTGGCCGATGCCGTCCTTCCTGGGTGGTGGTGGCTGTGGGGCCCCCAAACCCAGCTCCTTCGTGACGTTCAGGCTGGTGGCCCGCCCGGGGCCCGCAGCGATGCCCACTCTACCACAGCTGGCGTTCCTGGGTATCGGGAGGTTTCTGCGTTCCTTTGCTTACCGTGTATCTCAGGGTCGCAGCGAGAGTTCATTCTTGCCGGGCCGTGTGCCGCTGTCTCTTTCTGGGTGGGGTGTGGCGGCGAGCCAGCGTGGAGAGACGCCGTGTTTAGAACCAGGGCCCCTCCGGCCTGCTCCCCCGAAGGGCTCTTCGATGGACACGGTGGTGGGAACTTGTCTTCACTGTGGTCCCAGACCCTCGTACCTGAACAGTGGAGCTGGAACATCAGCCTGAGAGCTGATTGGAGGATCTGAGGGGGGTTGGAGGACTCTCCCTGCGCCGCAGAAGGGCTCGAGAAGGTGGACACGGTGACAGTCACAGATCTAAGAACTGGACCCGCTAGGGCACGTGGAAGCTGTCGGTTCTCTTCTGGTTCCTCAGGGGGCTGGCGTGTGGCCTCGTCCGTGGGGGACGTCCGAGTCCGGGAAGGAGCCAGGAAGGTGGGGAGGAGGGCCCTCCCCTGGTGGCCCCGCTGGCTGGCTGGGTTGCCCGGAAAGGGCTCACCGAGGCATCAGTGAGGAGCAGTCCTGAGTTGTTGGGCAGAGGTGAGCCTGCTGCTTCTGGAAGATTCCTGGTCTCGTAGGACAAGTTCAGAGTACAGTTGTGCATCGGGGGCTAGGCTCGTAATGAACGTGGCCGGTGAAAATGCTTCAGCTTTTCTCGTGTTCCGTTCCCCGTCCTTCTCTTGTGGTCTCTAAATTCTGATCCGAGGGCTGCGTGCCCGTCCTCAGTGGAGGGGGGGGGCACTTTCCTGCTTCCGGTCTGATTACTTGTCTCGGAACCCTTAAGTAGTTCTCCATCCCGGGGGTTTTCTCTTGTTTTCGAGCACTCTCCCCGGGTTCCACACGAGGCTTTCCTCAGTTGCCCTGCGTTCCAGGAGTCAGCGACTTAGCGGCCACCCAGTGGAGTGATGTAAAGGTGGCGGATCGGGGGGCTTTCACCCCTGCGCTAAGGGACTCGTGTGGGCTTGGTGCCGGGGACACAGTGGTGAAAAGGTGCGGTCACGCCCCCGGAGCTTCCATCCGGGCGGAGGCAACAGTGTAATCGCAGATACACGCACGCCTTCTGGAGGCAGCGAGCGGACTGGATCGGGGG